AGAACTTCGATAGAAGGGATTGAGGTGCCAAAGTGTTTCCTTAATCACAGGCATTTGGGGGATTTAACATTTACCTGTAAAAGACCCCCTGTGGTGAAAATCAAGTTTTAATGTTGTCTGTCTGCTGTTTTTAATATGCTTCAAGACAAACCATGTGCAAATTCATCAGCCAATGCCATTGCTGAGCATTTTCTCCTTAAAACTGCTGTGTACCAAAGGCTGTCTCAAAAACGTGGTTTGAAACTGCTTGTTTCCGCTGCAAACATGTAACCAATCCCATCAACTTGCGGTGCGGGGCTTTTCATATTATTATCTACGCTAGTCATAGTTTTCTATTTACAATGTGTTTTTGCAGTGCTGAGCAATGTAGCCAATCACAGACATATCTGTTGATTTCATGAACACAATAGCCAATCAGAGATGTTTAAGTTAGACAGAATCCACTCACTGCTCAAAACACCAAAGCTGAGTTCTATGCAAATCCTCTCATTATAACAGATGCGTATTGACGCGTTGTAAATACAAGAGTCATTGTGCAGTATAGAGGTTCATTGTTTTTAACATAATTGCAGTGAACTACAATGATTGACAGCTTTTAATAGTAATTGTAATTATAAGAAGTGCGCTCTTTATGCACTTTCTAGGCTATAATCCATTCAGAATTGGAATTCACTCACAGCTTCACTCTTCGGTAACGATTTATCCAACATTGCCACTTGCCATTGTGTAGTGTTAACTACTTAAGTTAACTGAGTGAACGTAGAGCAGGCAGGGACTAGTTAGATCTGGGTATACTAAATGAGGTAAGCTGCAATAATTAAATGTTTAAAAAGGAACAATATAAAAGACCTCTTGCCAGTCCATACAAATTGACAAACCACTCCTACACGCATTTCGTTACTCATAAAACACTAATTTACTTCTTTACTTGTTAACTAAGAAGTAAACTCTTTCTTTCAACTACTTTTTTTAAAAAGTGGATGTAGAAAGAGAGATTAAAGTAACAAAAAACTATGAATATGAATAATAATAACAACAATAATAGTAATGTTTTGATCTAGTCAAAAATTTGTTTGCCAGACCAAACCAATTTTGACAAAACACCCCCGAACAAGCATTTAGTTCCCTATACAACGCTGATTTTTACCTTGCATCCCACATACATATTATGCTGAATCATCATCGTCCTGTTTCAGTCTGGGAGTGGAAAGTGAGCGAGTACAAAAATCCCATCTGGCTCTTGGCTGGCGGTCCTCCCAATCTCCCTTTCATTCTTCTGTAATGTACAGGAAAGCTCAGAGATATGAAGGTACGCACTGGTGGACAGTATTTGCTCAGACTCATTACTGAATCTCTGGCATTTTCACTTGACATTTTGGACCATTATTACCTGTCTGACATTTGAGGGCCAGATCAACGTGTCTATGAAGAGCTGATTACATAATGGTCCGCCCGCCTGCACGTCTTGTTTACTCCTGAGGAGCAACTAATATAGAGGGAAGCAATTAATATTGTCTACTTTCAATTCACACAATTAATGCTGAACACAAAGGTCTCAGCTCCATTACACTGGCTGCGCTCGCTCGTGCAAATACGTGAAATGAGTCTGAGTACAAGAATTAAGAGCCCGTGGGCATCTTCGAAGGGCTGTGGTGGATCTGATGTAGCTTACGGTCCTGAGCTAAAGGCTATCTTAGATCAGCATGTTGTGAGACTTTCCAAGTTTAAAATTAGAAAAGAGTTTCAACAACAGCAAACTCTCCCACAAAGAGCTTCTGCATTAAATAACGGTCCATTATCTTGGCTGCAAAACTAAATCTGAAAGAGCCAGTCTTAAAGGGGTGGAATAAAGGTGAAGGACGGCTGATTGGTGGATTGGAAGGGTGGGCGTGAGTCAAGAGGCCTCCAGATCTTTTGATCCCTGTCTGACGCATCGATTCCTCATCATTTCCCATGGACCTATGAAGTAAAGCCAATCAATTTTATTGCATTTTAAAGAATTGTTTCACTCGGTTTTATAAATTGAGGGCAGAGTGAGTCACTTGACCAGTTCTCCAGAACAAACAAATATCTCATTCACAAATACAACAACTCCCACACAGAGATCAACGTATCGAATAGCCCAGAAACAGATATAAACCATGACAAAAACGCCACATAATTTAATGCCACATAATTCCATTCGTAAGCTGGAATTTGAATTGAAAAGGTCTTATTTATTAAATATAATCAAACTAATAAATGTAAATATAATATACACTAAATATGCATTCCTATACTGTAGGTGGCATTTCAAATATTAATTATCAATATCATTTAACGTTTGTGGAACTACTACTCTGGAACTTCAATTCAAATCCGATTCGCATTCAGGAATTTAAAAGGCATTCTAAATTCAGTTATGAATGGCACTCAACCCTGCCACCCACGTACAGTCCCATAGATGGATCCCTTTTCAGGCAGACAGACAGACGGCTCCCACTCTCTCCTCCTGCTGGATCATTGAGAGAGACCAGCCATTGACCAGGAGAACGTGAATGAAAGACTGCAAAGGATTTTTTCACTCTGAGCAAACCCAGCAACAGAGCAGTGACATTTATGCACACACACGCTCAACACCCACAAAACCAATGCAAAGTAACAACAAACTCAGACGCCACGCATAACACATCATCACACACAGCCCTTATGTGCAACAAACACTTAAAGAGGAGAAGTCAGGGAAACTAGTTGGAGGAAAAAAGGGCAAAAACATGCTTTATGTCTCTCTCTTTTCTCTCCTTGACTCCCAGAGAGTGAGGGAGACATGCCTTCCAAAAGTGAGCAAAGTAAACTTTCAAGAAGAAAGCGGTAAGAACTCAACGCGTGGGAGAGAAAGGAGACGCGATGTTATTTATATATTTCTGTTTATCTGTTTTCCTGTCATTTATTCAGAATGCAGCGTTTGAAACACCCCTTAGGATGAGAATGAGAGGAGAGGAAAAGGAGATGGCAGTGGCACAGCTGCAGAAATTGTTCGGGGACTTGTGATAACTGAAGAAAATATGCAATATAGAGACAAATGATGAGGTTATAATACATTTTTCTCTGGCCTTTTTCATCCCATCACATTTTATCTTAGATGGAGTGATCCATGATGTAGAAAAACGACTGCAGAACTGATCTTATATGTGTCTGATTTTACCTCACATCATCGACTATTACTGATGATATAATATCTGGCCAGCTTGTGATTTTTTTTTGTCTGTTGGCTAGCTGATATCTCCCTCTCTCTCTCTCTCTCTCTCTCTCTCTCTCTCTCTGTCTCTATGATATAATATCTGGCCAGCTTGTGATTTTTTTTTGTCTGTTGGCTAGCTGGTATCTCCCTCTCTCTCTCTCTCTCTCTCTCTCTCTCTCTCTCTGTCACTGCATAGGTTTAATTTGTGGAGATTAAAGGACACATAGCATGGGACAGATGAGAGCTGTTTTGTCCCGAAGCATATTTTTTACCCGGCTTACTGTCACCCTGGACCACATGAAGCAAAACCACTGATTTACTGCATCCAACTTTACCTGAGCTTGACATCCTTATCACACACACACACACACACACACACACACACACACACAATCTGACAATTACAGACAAATCACACAAAATGAAATCAGCATAAACTCAGCCAGACAGCTCCTCTAGAGACAAACATCACTAGAGCTAACTGTACATGAAATCTTTGTAACTATATGATTTTAATATTTTCTATATTTTCAAATATTCCAATATCAATAAACTGCTCCTAAATAATCTGAAGTGGAGTTTATAAACACTTAAAGCTAGGGTTAGTAATCAGCTGAATTGTGATTAACAAGATTTGATCCTTTTTTAAGAAAATAAAAATAAATAATTTATCTGTATACTATGCCCATATAAATGACACTGGACAGCGGTGTATTTATACAACAGTGCTTTTTGCTTGTCTCACTCACACACACACACACACACACAAAATGCTTTAGTTCTCAAACTTCATCCAAATGCACAAAAGTGTATATCTGAAGCACATTTAAAAAAATTTAAATAATAATAATAATAATAATAATTACAGTTTTTCTCAATTGCTTTGGCTCAATTCTCGAATTAAACTTTTTTTTCCCGAAACAATAAGTTCAGATCTCTGAACAATTAGCTTCTTGTTCACATCAGATTGGAATTTTTTTTTTCTATGTACTATTGACTCTTCTCAACAAATATCAGATTTTTTATAAAACCTTCATTTCCATGGTTGACTTTCATGGTGAAAAAACAACTAAACATTCTGACCAGTGTGGCTGACACGATGACAAAAATATTTTATATTTTGGTGGCCTTGGCCAAATTACTGACATGATAACTAGGTTTTGAAGCATGAATGAAATGTTTTGGGTGAGTAACTACATTTTGCAGACATGCAATAAAGTTCTGAAGTTCCAGCAAACAGTTGTGACATTTGCACTCACAGTTTAGAGAATGTTAAGATTGTTTCGAAAAATGTGCCAAAGCAATTGAGAAAAACTGTAATCACATTTTATGATTTGGAATTTAATTGAACTTATTCTAATTGAACTAATTAAAAAAAACATAGTTGGTCAAAACATCAAAACAAATATTTTATGTTGGACTGTTAAAACAATCATCAAAATGTTTTGAGAAAAAAGGTTTATAAAGCCAATATGTTTGATGGTTTATAGGCTAGCTAAATAGCACAACAGAACAATAGACAGACAAACAGATAGACAGACAGACAGACAGATAGATAGATAGATAGATAGATAGACAGACAGACAGACAGACAGACAGACAGACTGACCGACAGACAGACAGACAGATAGATAGATCTTCATCTCAGTTTTTTATTACAATGCTGTCTTACGCCTGTATAACTGCAGTGCTGTTGACAGAGTAGTTTCTATCATTCTTTGATTTTTCTCAAGGGTAACCCAAACACAACAGGCAGCGTGGGTGGCTTGAGCACACTTACGATGTTCATAAGAGTGAGGAGGTACTTCTCCACATTCTGCTGCCCGTGAAACTGCACCACGGAGTCGTCCACCCCCAGCAAAACCTCAATGTAGTAGGCCCGATCGGGCAGCTGTCTGCGGGCTCGTCGGCTCTGGTTTATACTGCGTTCAAGACCCTGATACAGAGTCTCAAGGTCCAAAAGTCTGCCCAAATCAGCACCTATAAAGAAACACAGAAACTGGTGATTTTGTGAACTTCATGAACAGTTTAATAACTTCTAAGTGTAAACTACTAAACCATTACAGCAATTTGCAGAAATTAGTACTTCCTTTTTTTTTTTTTTGAGTGACATATTGTTGAAGACAAGAAAGGAAACGACAGTGTCATAATGAGAAACCGATCAAACCACTAACCACAGTACGTGGTGTCATGAGGTCATTTCCTCTCCAGGCAGATAGATGGAACATGGAGGAGAGAACACATTGAGGAAGATCTATCACCTTGTCTCCATCACCCAATCAGCTGGGGGCATCTTCTATGCTCCAATTATGTAACGTTTCCTAGGAAACCTGCTCATGGGTAAACCAACGCTCAGTGCAGACTAATATTAGCTCACCAGTCACTTTCTTATTAGATGATAATCCGAGAGTAAAAACAATATTCATCATCTTAATGCTGAGAGTCAGTAACATATTATTATAGGGCTACAGAGGCAAGACAACAAGCACAGAAAAATTCCCAATAAACCAAAAAGAAAGGTGTCAGAGTTTTTTGTTTTTTTTTCAATTGTGTTGGTGTTTATCATTATGAAGGATTTTGTAGGGTTGCAAACTTCCTCACCAGCAGGTGTTCATAATATCAAAGCCTGTGTCAGCAGATTTCCACACAAAATTGGAAGAAAGCTTCTATAGTACAACAAAAGCAATTAACATGCTCTTGTCTCTTGTCTTTTATTATGCACAGTATTCTGTATAGACATAAGATTTTCTTTTTTCCGAAGCCATTTTTTATGTACACATATTTTTATGCCAAATTTAATCAAAACTACCTGCAATACCTACACCAGGCTGATATTATAGCATACTCCGTTCATGGCTGATGATGATCTGAGGGTCACCTCAGAACTTGTTAATGCCAATTCAGAAGCTAATAAAAACTTATTAAACATTTGCAAAGATTTTTTGAACCAAATCTACTCACACTCCACACTGTAGTTCAAAAGTAAGATTAAAAAAAAAAAGAAATTAATTATTTTATTCAGCAAGAGATGCATTAAATTGATCAAGTGACAGCAATGCATTTATAATGTTAAAAAAAGATTTCTGTTTCAAATTAATGCTATTTATTTGATTTTCTATTTATCAAATAATCCTGAAAATGTATCACATTTCCACAAAGAGTATTAAGAAGCACAACTGTTTTCAACATCTCATTATAATAACAAATGTTGAGTAGAAAAACAGCATATTAGAATGATTTATGAAGGATCATGTGACACTGAAGACTGGAGTAATGGCGGCAGAAAATTCAGCTTTGCCATCACAGGAATAAATTACATTTGAAAATTGTAATAAAATTTCATCTATTACGATTTTACTGTATTTTTGATTACAGTTTTTCTCAATTGCTTTGGCTCAATTCTCAAATGAAACTTTTTTTTCCCGAAACAATTAAGTTCAGATCTCTGAACAATTAGCTTCTTGTTCACATCAGATTGGAATTTCTTATTGATTTGAGCAAATTGCAAATGCTTTGGCACATGTGTGCAAACAGTAAGTACAATTGTCTGCAGTTTGCACAACAACTAATTGCATATGGCTTGTTGATCAAAACTGATGAGCCGATTCTCACTTAAACTGTCAAACTCTTCACAACTTCTCAATAATTTTTCATCGTGTAAGCCATCACATTCAAAACGATCCATTCAATTATGAAAAATTGGTATACACGCATGTATATTCCATAAATATCTGACATTGACATTGTTTGTAATGTCTGCTAAATTGGCAAATGACCTCTAATTGCAATACAATTTGAAACAACCATTCAACCATTTAACCAATCAAGTTTGGGAGCATATATATGTAGATTGCCCACAGCACAATCACTAAGAATGGAGGACTTCCACATTCGAAAAATGTGCCAAAGCAATTGAGAAAAACTGTAATTAAATGCAGCAACATAATGCACATAAATGCAACATAAAGCAATATTCAGTGAAAAACAAGCCTTTTTTATATCCATCATCATGGAAAAACTTTTTCTTTAGGAAAAGAAAGAATACAGTTTTCCCAGTGTTCTACCCTACTGTGATGACTAACCTCTTTCTATGACATCTGTCTTTTTCTGCTATTCAGTTCTGCTATTCTGTGATCCTCCAAAACTTGAGCCATCACCCTGTCTGTCAAATACACCCGGCTCCGTTCTGATCTCATGAGAGACATTCACATTCTGGCTGAGGAGTCCTCGCCCTTATCAGGACACAAAGCTACTTTGTCTTTCAACCTTTGCAAATGTCAAGAGAGCCTATGAGGGAGAGAAAGATGGAAGAAATGCAAGGAGGGGAAGGGTGCTCAGACTGGTAGGACATTTGAAAAGACTGATATCATGTATAACAGTTGTGATGTAAGTACTGAGTAGCTCATTTCAATTTGGTTTCTAACAACTCAAACTATTAAATGCTCATCTCCATGAGTGACAGATTTATGGGTCGTCGGGCCGCCAAACTGCAAAAGCACTGAGACAGAACGAGAGATTGGTGTATCTAGATGTGTTCGCTGACACACAGCCAAGCACAAAAGAGTTTTGTGTAGAGGTAAAAGTGTTGCAAAACTTGTAAGATCTGAATCTGAGAACATGTACAATATTGCAAATATTTGTTCTGATCCTGACAGGCTGATGTGTAAACTTGTAAAGTGAAAATTTGAATTCTTCCATTTACAGACAACAATCCCAGACATTTCCATTAACCCTAAAACAACACAATGAAGTGGAAAATTTTAAATATAGGCAAAACAAACAAAAGTCAATACAGAAAATTCCTTCATATTAAAACAGTAAATATTGCATATTGTACATAGCCCTATTTTTAAAAAATTTTTAGTGTGTTCTTAAGTTATAGTATAAAGTACTATACTCCATAAGTACTATACTCCAAATATAGTACATATATATAAGTACTCATATATATATAAGTACTATACTCCAAATATAGTACAAATTTGTTAATATAGTATAATAAATCTAGTAAAAATATGAAATACAAAGAACATTCAATACAGTTGAATAAATCTAGTTAAAAATATAAAATACTAAATGATAAAAGTAGTCTGATTTATCAAATTCAGAATAGTCAAATATTCAATTTTACTGTATTTTCAATCAGCTAAACTAGTTTAAACTTAGTTTATTAGTGTTATTCAATTACGTATAATAAATATTCAAAAATATTAAATACAAAATAGTCAAATTGTCAAAAATAATCAAAATAATAATAAAACTAGTCAAAAAGAATAAATACAAAGTCAAATAGAATCATAGAACAGTCAGTGCAATCAAAATGGTCAAAATATTAAATACAAAATAGAGAAAGTAAAAAATAGTGTATTCTGATATAATATAGTAAAACAAAAGGACAAACTTACTTTATGTATATATACTGTATATATATATATATATTTAGTCTTGAACTTAAATTCATTTACAACCACAAGTCTGCACTTACAACCTCTTAGATCTTGCACAGCAATTTTGAATCTTTACGTCGTCTATAGCAACTTTTGCCATTAACCTGTGCCAAAACTCATTTGTGCACTCAAAAATCGCAAACACAAAACAGTATCAGCACAGCATAATCAGCTATATATAAACTGCAGCTTGACTCTCCATATGATGATTCCACATGATAAAATGATTCTCCATAAGCATCAACAGAAACAGGAATGTAGTCCCTTTAAATGACCTCTATGACATTGCATATGTGACCTCTAAAGATGCATTTTTGTGACATTACGTAGAGAAACATGTCAGTAGTACATTCAACTGTGTAAGTCCATTAGAGTTTTTCCAGCACAGAATATTGTCCCATAAGCATCAAAAGTACAATAATGTTCTGTAGACGTTCTGCATGCAAACAGCTTGCGCATTGGCGGTGCGCCGGTGATGTCAGACAGTGTTTTTAATTAGAGTGTGAGAAAGTGTGTACATGCAGCAGATGTACAAGCGAGGAAGGGTATCGCAACCTTAGGGAAATCTGATCCAGCTACACATTCTCTAACAGCCAGTGCTCAACTAATGCTCTTTCTGCCTTTTAATCTTTAATGGTGTGTTGTAAAAGCCAAGATCAAATTAAGCCTTTAGGACCAGGCCATTGAGAGCTGGTAATGATATCAGTAACTAAATCATCTCCAGTGGTAATAAAGTATTCCATTTGATTAAGCGCTATATTAATGCCAACAATGCACTAATGTTTACTATGTGGTAAGTAAACTGGCAATGTTACTGTAGAACAGAGGTCAGCACCTTTGTGCCATTTTTAATCTGTAATGGTTATCATAGTGTCATATCACCCTCCCCCCTTGTAATATAATACAATATATTTAAAATAATCTGTATTGAAGTAACATCTAAACATGCACATTTATCGCTGCATTCCTATACAGCATTCCTATGCAAAAATATATTTTGTTCTGGCCAAAATATATTGTAAATATATGGTGGAAAAAGTGAAGCTCAGTTAAATATATTTTTGAAATCTACAATTTTATATATATATATATATATATATA